TGACTCCCCAATTGAAAAGGCACCAATTCTCTGGTCATATGTATATACATGTACATATGGAATCACCACACATATATTAGTTTTGGAGTCAATAGATGGAGCATTATTTATGTTGGTCACCAAAGCACACAATACCCTTCCTCTTTCAGAGAACATTTATATCTCATCTAAATGTACCGTATTTTTCGGACTATAAGACGCACCAAGATTTTGAAGAGGTATTTTTTTTTAAAAAAAAAATAGTTTTGCCCTCCCCGGCCCACAGGAGCACTCTGCAGGTCTGCCAAACCCTCTGCACACTCCATTTTTTTGTGAAAAACAGGGCATGCAGACAGTTTGGGAGGCCTGCGAAGTGCTCCTGGGGCCTGGGGAGGGCAAAAGCGTGATGCATGATGGGTTTGGTAGGTGAAAAATGGGTCTACTTTTTGCAGAAACAGGGTGGGCAGAGAGTTTGGGATGCCTGTAGAATGCTGTTGGGGCTGGGGAGGGCAAAAACACCTGTTTTTGTAAAAAAAAAATGGGCCCTTTTTTCACTTGCTTTTGCCCTCCCCAGCCCCAGCAGCACTCTACAGGCCTCCCAAACCCTCTGCATGTCCAATTTTGCAAAAAAAAAAAAAAAGGGATATGTGGGATGGGGTTTTGGGAGGCCAAAAATGCTGTATTCAGTGTATAAGATGCACCCAGATTTTCACCCTCTTTTTGGGGGGGGAAAAGGTGTGTCTTATACTGTGAAAAGTACACTAATTTATAATCCGTGTCTATGCAATATACCCAGGCATAATTCCCAATAAATTGACTACATATTTCTATACTTGGATCAGTGGTGGGTTTTAAATCCCATTCCAACTGGTACGGTTGGAACGGGGCCGGAGGCGTGCTTATGGACGCATGCAGCGCTCATGCATGCAGCGTATGCATGCATCTTAGTGCCTTCACAATGTTCTGCAACACTCCAGCTGCTGTGCGGAGTGTTGCACAGGTGCTGTATGTGCCATGCGCATGCGCAGAAGTGCAGAAGCCTTTAAACACCGGTAAGGAGCTCGGGTGGCCCTCCGGAGCACCATACCGGAATGGTATCCGGTGCTCTGGGATGGCTCCGGTATGCCCATACTGGGGCGTACACCTGCAACCCACCACTGACTTGGATTTATAACTCTATATAGAGAGGTAGATTTCTCATTTGGCCATGTTCGATTTTAGAGGGCGGTGCTCATCTCTTTCTTGGGCGAGGGAATCAGTGTTGTCTAAAGACATTTCCATGGTTATATGGCTGGAATACCTGTGCATGGTTACCTTCCCACTGAAGTGATATCTATTTATCTACTTGTATTTGCATTGTTTAAACTGCTAAGTGGGCAGGAGCTGGGGCAGGAATGGGAGCTCACCCTGTCATGTTGTACTTGGGTCTTAAACAAATTCTACTTACCTTCCTGTAAAGCAAAGTTGTTTAGCAATCAGACTGCAAAGACCCATCAAAGACAAGTTCAAGGGCTCAAGATTGTTAGGAATAAGTTTAAAATAAGGAATAGAAGCTTTCTTTGTGCAAGTCTTTACCACTGGATTCCTTCTTTGTGCCCTACAATTCTATAGTATACAGTATCATCATGGAGCGAGCAGTTCCAGACATTAGGAGTTAAATTGATTGATTGGGTGCATCTTAATGATGCCTGAAGAAGTTTTGCCCTTTTATTTTCTAACACCACACAAGTGTTTTCCAAAACACAGTTTAACAAAGAACTACCCAATGACCATACTTTTGCATATAAGTCAATGTGGAAAATAGTTTGCTATTAGGCAACTGTTTAGTTAAACTAGGAATCTTACTTAATCTGCTTTTATATAGTGTTGTCACTAAAAGAAGAACATTATGTCATGAACTTCTCTTTTTTAAATAATGGGACAGAAAACGAAACTATCTAATCTTATGTTTCTGCTTTAGTGCTTTATTTCATAACTAGCTTTGTCCCAAGCACACAATTTTTGGAAGATGCTAAAAGCCATAAATACAACTTAAGAGCAACTTCAGGATGCTATCTTACCTTCTAGTCTTCCCCAAATTGATGTCCTTTAGAGCTGGGACCACTATTCCCCAAATTCTAAGCCTAAGCATAACAGAAAATTCTGAAAACTGCAAAACTACACCATCTAGACTCAAAGGTGCATTTTCAAGAGGCAACTGGACTTTCTGGTTTTTCTTTTAAGATGTTTCTCTTCTCATCCAAGAAGTTTCTTCTTGGATAAGAAGCCAAATGTCTTCAAAGAAAAACCAGAAAGTCCTGTTTACTCTTGAAAATGCACCTTTGGGACAACCGTGACCTGGATGACTGAGAATCTCAATACACATTTAGCGACACACCATCTAGAGAACCAAATGGGACAATGCTCGAGGATATGTCTCATTGAGTACAATGAAACATGTTTCTCAGCATACATATGTAATACAATTCTACAAATACCACATAATCTGAAGAAAGTTAAAATAGCTCTCAGTATAGGAAGACAAAATCAGACAAATAATAAAACCCTTGCTACTGTACTGTACTGTACTATACTACTATACTATACCTATTACTATAGTTTTTTTCCTTTGCCCCTCTCCTACTTTTCTCTCTCTTCATTTTATCAGAAGCTTTTCAAACCTGAATTAAAAATTCATTGAGAAGGTCAAAGGTGCACTACCACATCTTTCTAAGTTTTAAAACATAAAATAGGTCCTTTAGTAACAATGAAAAAAACATTGACAAAAGTATATTAAAACAAATTATGAGATAACAAAGAAATGTAACTTCAGTTTGTTAATTTGAAAAAAGTGGGAGGAAAGACTTTGGATGTAAATTCTGAGGCTGACTATCTCTGTCTCTCTCTAGTTAAATTACTTTGTTCTGCATGCAGTAGGAAACTCCTTTGTTCATCTCCGTTATTTCTTGCTCTGTTTTAAGATAGGAAATATTAATACAATATTTAATAAAGTAAATATAAAACAGATTTATCTTATTTTTTTAAAAAAAGCTCCTTCCAAAACATTAACCATCAAAATCCTATCCTCCTTTACTAACCAAGTTGATACAGTACATCAGAGAAATAACTTACACATCATAGTTAGAGTCACTAGGAATGATAGTGTAGGTTAAAGCCTACAGAAGATGCCCTTGAAGCCTGTGGAAGGAAATGGTAGCTGTCTTCAATAAACTAGTTGGTTGTATAAAAGGCAAGGTAGAATTGTTCCAGAAGACAAGAATTGATGGGATTAAATTACAAGGAAACTGATTTTGGTTGGACATTATAAAAAGATCCCTAACAGTAAAAGCTATTCAAGAGTGGAAGAGACTACCTTGGATGTGTGACAGACCCTATTCACTAGAGATGATTAAATACAGGCTGGAAAGCTGCCTCTTGGGATGCTTAGTATAAGATTGTAGCATTGGGCAGGGGGTTAGACCAAATGATTTCTGATGTCATTTCTAAACTTTATATCCTTTTACTGTGGTAATTAGGTAGTGTATTGAAAAAAATATTAATGGCAGAGTTTAGACATCAAAATATTGCCCAATGACCCTCCTTAAAAATGAATCAGCACAACTCTTTACTTTTATGCACTTTATTCCCCAATAGGTTTATATAGCTTGTAGTCTTAACTTTCTCTTCAGTTCAACGTAGGCAGATTGCCTTTGGCAGATAAATCAGGTTTCATAAAGGATGATAGTAATGGATTGCTACATTTTTATTTAAGCTATAGTATTTCTAATTTTGCATGTGATAATTCCAAAAATAGGAAAACATACTCTTCAGGACAAGGGGACGAACCCTAAATACATTGTATACGTTGGCTATTTCCATACCACCTTACTACAATAATGACATTGATATCAGCTTTTTAAAAATCTGTTCTCAATTCAGGAACACTGTAACTCAATATTACTGTGTATCAATAGTCATTTACAAGGATCTCTGTGTAGGAATTGGCTGTGTGAATTCAGTCTAAAACACAACTATAGTACATTCAGAACAATTTTTAAAACAATTTAGAGGGCACATTTACCTGTACTTAATCAAAAGTGAGTTCAGTTGAGTTTTTTTCACTGTCCTGGTTCTATATAATTTCAGCCTATTTTTGTGGTCAATAACATTTTAATAAACTTTACACATAACACAAATAAGACAAGGTTATGTACATGTTTATTGTTCCATCTAAAATATATTTACTAGAGGCCTGAGTCATAGTTGCTCAGTGACATTTACTGGTATTTCTTGAATCTGTGTTCAAAGAATAATGTTCCTAAATGTCCGCAGCAGGCAGAAAGTCTGCAAAATCCATACAGCAGTGATGTCCTTTGGGACAATTTCACTTCCAAAAACATTAACCTCTCCACTTCAACTTTTCAAAACTCTACCCTAAATTACAAGCCTTGCTTTTGGCTTTGTACTTCGCTGGGGATCTGAGTGAAGAATCAAGAAAGCCATATATATATATATATATAAAATGTGTGGAATTGGGCCAGCTCCACACATTCTTTCTAAATCCAGAAGGCTCAAATAGTTGATTAAATTCTATTACCTTAGAAATAAAGATGCATGCCAGTAACATAGGCAAGCTACTTTGAAGATCTCAAGCATGTGTTACCAAGACTGGCTTTTGGCCATACCGATCTGGGTATTTATGGGAACTGTAGTCCAACTCACATGGTAGGAATCAGCCCCAGGATGTCTGTCTCTGGAATACTTTACTAATTGGACTGCACAGGATTGCAACTCCAGTTTCTGGAGCGCTGATATAATAACCCATTTCTAACTTCGAAGAGATTCGCAATCTACTCAGTAGTTCGTAATGGGTGAAATGTCCCTGAGCAATTGCAAGACCCTCTTTCCCACACCCCAATATCTTTTTTTACGAACCCCCCCCCCCCGCCTATTGCTGACCTCCAAGTGTGGGCCAAGAAAAAGACGTCTGGTAACGGGCCGCCTGTCGGTGGACGGTGGAAGGAACGGCCGCGTCCTCTTACCTCTCTCCTTAGCCTGCTCTTGGCGCAGCCTTTCTCACTCCACGGCGGCAGGAATGCTGAGCCACCGGTGTAAAAGGCGACGCGGGGGCAAACTTCTGCCCGGCTGGGCTAAGTGGCGGACGGTCCGCGACGGATGCTCGACCGGCTAGGTTGAGCGGACGGACAGCCGGACGGATGGATGGAATTAGCTCGGGCCGCGCCGATCACAGGACAGCGTTCGCAGGCGCCTGAACTCCGCCAGAGGGAGGAGACCTCAACGTCACCGGAGAAGGGGAGAGAAGAGGGCGAAGGAGCCCCTTATAGTCCCACCTCTCTCCCGATGGCCCCCCTGGCGGATTTCGCTTTAGGCTGGCCGGAGTCTCAGACGCCTGCGAAGTTCTTTTCCCGCCAAAGTGGCGGAGGGCGAGGGCCAGCCCCCGCCCGCAACGCTTCTTCCAGAGGAGAAAGGAAAAAAAAAGACTTGACGTTCACAATAATTTCGCTTTCTTGTAACAAGGCTGGCCGCTCCTCCCAGGCTCCCGGAGCAGGGCTAAGGAGAAGCGACGCATCCGTGGAAAGCAACCCTTTCTCCCGGCCCTACTCTGCCCGGGCCAGCCGAGTCTCCTCCTTCTCCTCTCCTTTCCCGGGTCTCATTTTATTCAGCTCTCGGTCTCCTTGGATCTTGGTCGCTGGGCGGTGAAGTTCTCGCATGAAACAGCCGTGGCTGAACATTTTTTCCCCTTCTTTGCTCGCCCTTTTGGGTATCAAAGAGAGGGAGGGGAGCCGAAAGACACGAACCCTAACCCTAAAGCATTAAAAGAAACTTCCACGAGTTTCTTCCCGTGTCTTCAGGGCGCAACTGCTCATCCTTTCGCTCCCGGAGCCCTTCCGATGGCAAACGACGTTAGTGACAGCCAACCAGTCCCTTCAGTGGTCTACCAAGAAGTGAAAATAGATGTTGGCTTTTTTCCCCCTCTCGTTTACTTTCTCTGCTTAACTACATCTCATTTTTCCTCCACTCCAGGAGGAATCAGGTGAATCAGATAATAGCTCCTGACTTTTGAAACAAAGGAGAAAGAAACAGCATTTTCAGGGAAAGGAGTTGCTCCTGCAAAATGGGGTTATGCTTCTGCCCCTCTAGTACACTGAGTGCTTCTCTGTCCTCTCCATATTACAAGAGTGGGTTAAGTCAGTAATACAGGTAGAGTCCTCAACTTACAACAGTAAGGCCAATCAAAATTACAACAACAATGAAAAAAGTGATTTACGGTCATTTTTCACACTGCATCACCATGGTCACTTGGTCAAAATTCAAACAATTAGCAACTGACTCATATTTATGATGGTTGCAGTATCCCAGGATAGTGTGGTCCCCTTTTGGGCTCTTCTGACAAGCAAAGTCAACAGGGAAGCTGGATACACTTAATAACCATGTTACTTAACAACTGCAGTGACGGAGGTCTACTGTCGACCTCATCCCATTCCTAAGAAGTCTTTAAGGGGCGTGCATAAGTGAACCAGTGTGCCTACTGTCCCTGCCCTAATATTCCCTTGTATTTGTATTCATTTCATGTATTCATAATCATGTATATAGTTATACAATATCTATTATCTAATTCATGCTTGATGAAGTAAAATAAACAAATAAAAAACAACTGACAAGAAAGGTGGTAAAATGGGGCAAAATACATTTAGCAACTGTCCCCCTTAGCAACAGAAATTTGGGGCTCAATTGTTGTCAAGGTGAGGGAATTTTGCTTGTTGAGCTCAGTCTTTGGCTGACAGAGGGGATGGCCACTTCATTTTCCCATTTGCATCCCTGAATTCTCCAGACTGTAGCAGAGATTCCATCCCCTGAGCCAAATCCCTTAGAAAATAAATCTGGTTATATTGAGGCATTATAAGCTCTCTAACCCATCAAAATGGTGGTGCTCTCATTATTTAAAGTGTACGGGTTTCTCTCAGCCTGAAAGGCTGTCAGATAAAATGCAGAAAAAAGGTCTCTAGCTTACTGTCTAAATATAATATGACATACATTTACTTGGAAAGAAAATAGAGAAGTCATTCAACATTTACTTATGGGCCAAGAACAAACACAGTAAAAGACCAACACGGCAAAACAAGAAGAGTCACATATTCTTAGTATTTGGTGATTCCTGTTAACATTGACCAGCTATGGCCTTTTCAAGGAAGCTGAAATGATGTATCTGTTGAATACTAGCGCGGGAAATACAAGCGCGGGAATAAAGAACTCCCTTCTGATTGGTTCCCGGGCGGAGCCGGTTCAATCCTCGCCCCGATTGGTCGAGCTACTCGACGCCCCATTGG